ATAAATGATAAAATTGTATTTTGTACAAATTGAGTAGATATGCATAACTAATTACGGTTGCTAATGGAGCCTGAATCGGACATATTTCTTTATCAGTTCCTGTTTGATTTATTTTACAGTTTAAATATATTATAGTATCTGGTTTATTTATTCTATGGTTTTAAATGCATGAATCACTGTTTACTTCATTATTGCTTGATTTTGTGAATCTAAGATATGTTTGCCATATTGAATGCACGTTGCTTGTTTAAGTATTCATGTTTGAATGGGTAACGAAGACTAAAGAAAAAATAGGAAAGGGGTGTGAATTGATAATTAGATAAGATGATAGTCTCACTAGATATCCTAGGAGATGGTGGACGGACCGGATCCATAGGGAACCCTACCGGGAACGTTGCCTCATACCAGATGAGGTATTGAGATTTATTATTTGGTGTCCCTACCAGACGGGGTATGGGGACGGCCCTGGAAATTAAGTTTGTTAAAGAAATGGTTCATGTGTAGTAGGGACCCCTATGGATTCCCATGGATACTAATAGGCTGATGAAAAGAGGGCAACTATTGTTTGATAAGTATGACGTATGCTATGTTATAGATTTTGTATGAATTCGTAATATCTATGATGTTATTATTTTCATGGGTCGTCTTTTATAAATATCACTGAGGTAAGTGGACGTTAAATGGTTTGATTATTGATAAATAAATTTGTTTAAAATTTGTGCTCCATTGGTTATTTTTGGTTTTTTACCAACCTTTACTTCTGTAACGGTGATTAGTGTGATGTCCTTACTGGCTAGTGTAGCTCATTCCTTATTTAACTATTTCAGATCATGAGTACTTGGTTCCCGAGCCCGATCTACAAGAAGACGACGAGTAGATACTAGATGTCTTATAGTTTTCTTTATAATTCTTTCATTTCTAATATTTCTTTTAGAAAACTTATTCTTTGATATTATTTAGTATTTTTAAATTATTGTATAAGCGATATTAATTTAAATCTTTTATTTCGTTTCCGCACTCAAATTATTATATATATTTTCTTTTGAATTTCTGGTACTGTTACAATATGCTTCTATTTGCATTCAACTTAGGGTTTACGTTTAGGCTATAAACTCTGAATATTATGTATACATTTTTTTAGACAAATATATCTTCAACTTCTATTATTATACAGTTAAAAACAAATTTATTTGATATGTTTTATTATATTTCAATAATTTTATACATTAATATTCTATTATATTTATCTTGGGGCCGAGGGATATATATATATATATATATGTGTGTGTGTGTGCGTGTAAATAAATAATATAATAGAGACAGACAGTTGGAGAGCAAGACGATCGATCGGGATAAGATCACCTTCGGCCAGACTTAAAAAAGAGAAAGCTGAATATGTAAAAATCTTCAACTTGTTACTCAAAAAAAGGAGACCCTTGTTTTTCAAATAATAATAATAAT